ATATATAAACTGTTATCAAATATTTATTATTAGAATCATTAAGTGTCATATATATATATTAGTCATTTATGGTAATTCCGTAGGTTTTATTTATGGAAATAAAATAAAATAGTAATTATATCTTAGGGAACAATCATTAAGTGTCATATATATATATTAGTCATTTATGGTAATTCCGTAGGTTTTATTTATGGAAAGATATTCAAGAAAATAACATATCATATCATTATATTATATAGTTTGACTAACTAATGTATCTAGCAACCTATAAAAATTCAATGTGAACTTACTTATTTTTCAATTGAATCTAATTGACTACCTAATTGAATGACACCTATGCATTGGGGCCTCTTTTAATTAATACAAAATTGAGGTTACATCTTTTCAAATGTTTCTCAATTAATATATAGGGGATTTATTTGCTAGAAGCCTTTTTTCAACAAAATTAATTTGTAGAAGATTTAAGCTCTCTTTCATTGTTATTTGTAAAAATCTATATATTTGTTAGAAGACTTTTTTTCCAACAAAATTAATCTTTCACAAACATGGACTAAATTGTTGAATTTGTTATTAATAGAACTTTTTTATTATATTGAAAATTATATGATACTGTTCAAAAGATGATAAATAAGTAAAATTATCTAATATAGAAAAGTTATGAATCATCAAATTCACTTAAATTTTATCATAAAAAATATACTTCCAAGATAACAATATAATACGTAAGATTTATCATTTTTACGAAAGATTTATCTTATTTTCAAAGTATAATATAGTTTATTATATAATAAATTATATATGATATTATTAAAATATGACAAAAAGCAAAATTATTTAAACTATGGAGAAATTAAAAAAATCAGCATTGCTTAAATTATATTTAGTTATAACTTTTATATTTTAATCTTTATAATAAAAATATTTTTCAAGATAATAATATAATACATAAGAAGTATCTTACTTTTAAAACTACAATATTATTAATATAAATTTGTTTTATTATATAATAAATTATATATAAAATTATTAAAATATGACAAATAAACAAAATTACCTAAAATCATGTAGAAGTTTACAATTAAACAAATTTACTTTGCAAATAATTAGTACTAGGTGTTTTGCCCGCACTTGCGGGCTTAATAATTTTACTAATATCTATAAATAAATATATAATCAAGTTATGTAAATTATAATAAATTATTGTTCATAGACTCAAATATTTAATAATAAACTAAAAAATTCTTTTTATTTATAAAATTTTTCATCATCATATAAATAATTTTCAATACACAACTTATATTTGAAAATACTCATAAACTTAAAACATTAGTAATAAATTAATATCATTTTTAGACATAACAAAAAAAGTATAAAAAATTATCTTTAATAATGTTTTGGATAACACAATATAAATTATCTATAAATAAATTCTTTGCAAATTGATTTTTCATAATTAACTATATATTAATAAATAGAATTATTTTTCAACGTTAATAAAAACTTTATAACACAATATAAAAAGGTTAAATAAAGATAATTATCAAATTCATGAGATTCATTTTTAATTTATAATTAATTATATGTTAACAAATATAATTATTTTTCAAGGTTGATAAAGACTTTATCACATAATATAAAAACAGTTTAAAATAAGGATAATTATCAAATAAATGAAATTCGATTTTAATTTATAATTAATTATATATTAACTAATATAATTATTTTCAAGTATATTAACTAATATAATTATTTTTCAAGGTTAATAAAAACTTTATAACCCAATATAAAATAGTTTTAGATAAAGATAAATCTAAAATCATTGAAATTCATTTTTTATTTATGTTTAACTAAATTAAATTTTTTAACTATTCATTAAGGGTATAAATGATATTAACCGTTCTAAGTTTCAATGTAAGAGCTTTGTTGCAAAAAATCATTCACAAATAATAGTATAGATTACCTAAATCACATAAAGTTACAAATTAATTAGCAAATTCACTTAAATTTTATAATTGAAAAATATATTTTTAAGATAAAAATCTAATACAAAAGAATTAACGTATTTTCTAAAAATATAATATTGTTAACATAAATTCTTTTTATTTTTTATAATAAATTATTAAAATATGAAAGTAAGCAAAATAACCTACATGGAGAAGTTGACAACTAAGCAAATTTTTACTTCTAAAATAATAATTGAAAAATATATTTTTAAGATAACAATCTAATACAAAAGAATTAACATATTTTCTAAGAATATAATATTATTAACAAAAATTCGTTTTTATTATATAATAAATTATTAAAACATGAAAATAAGCAAAACAACCTAAAATCATGGAGAAGTTGACAACTAAGCAAATTTACTTCTCAAATAATGTTATAGATAACATAAATTCTTTTTATTTTTTTATAATAAATTATTAAAATATGAAAGTAAGCAAAATAACATACATGGAGAAGTTGACAACTAAGCAAATTTTTACTTCTAAAATAATAATTGAAAAATATATTTTTAAGATAACAATCTAATACAAAAGAATTAATATATTTTCTAAGAATATAATATTATTAACAAAAATTCGTTTTTATTATATAATAAATTATTAAAACATGAAAATAAGCAAAATAACCTAAAATCATGGAGAAGTTGACAACTAAGCAAATTTACTTCTCAAATAATGTTATAGATAGATAACATAAGTAATCTATATTAGAAAAATAGAATAAATTGATAGCCAAAACGCATAAACAAAATCCAAAGCTAGACTGACAGCTGGCATCATATGATATGAGGTTCCACTGTACAACATATGACTTAATGACTGGTATCGCAAGGAGAGACCTATTTGGAGAAATGCTGCTAATCTAAGATATACCGTAAATGAAAATCATAAATTAAAATGATCAGAATAGGCAGCTACAAATAGTTTTTCTTGACATCCAATGTTCATTCATTCGTATCTGATTTATTTATTGACCGTTTTTTTTAAGTTTAAATGTTTAATGCATCTTGGTTATGGTCAATCGGATTTTTAATAAAAAAAGAGTATTACATTAAAATAATGCGTGTAACATAAGAAGAAAATACCTTATTTCTCTTTAATAAATTGAATGATGGTATGGGGGATAACATAAATTTTTAGTCTCACCAAAATGAAAAACTAAAATAAATAAAAAACTTAAAGGGGTGAAATAGGAAGACAGAGAAGCAAAGATCTCCCTTCGAATCCGCGCAGCTTAGTAGCAGAGCGAAAATCTGATTTAGTAAAAATTCTCAAGAGATTTCTTCTAACTACAGTCTCCGCCGATTCCACCATTGACGGCTTTTGAGCTCACAACAAAGAATCTTACTTACGCGTTGCTGACGTCGTCAACTGAATCACCCACACGCACTTGCACTCGCTTTCTCTCTCTCTCTTGACTTACCTCTCGTCTGTAATTTTGATTCAGATTTTTTTTGAATTTTACTGTTGGATTTGTTTTTTTTTCCTGAGATTTAGGTGAGTGGTGTTGAGCTCATCGTAGCTACTGTTTAGGTTGCATGTAATTTAGAAACCTAATCAAAATGGGTTCATTAGAATCCGGTATCCCAATTAAGCGAGAGACCGGCGTGAGATGGTCAAAACACTCTTTACTCCAGAGAAACAGATCCAACAGATCCTTTCTCCTCAAGAGATTCAGTTACATCCAATGGATTTGCTCCATCGCCGTCTTCTTCTTCTTCGTCGTCTTTTTCCAAATGTTCTTACCTGGTTTCGTGATTGACAAATCATCGGATAAACCAGTAAGGAGGATTAGTAATAAGGAGCTTCTCCCACCTGATATGCTCGTTTTCAAGGAGAGAGGTGTTTTAAGTTTCGGTAACGATGTTAGGTTAGAGCCTACGAAGGTGTTGATGAGTTTCCACAGAGATGCTCTGACTATTAGTAGTGATGCGCAGCGTTTTGGATTCCGAAAACCGAAGCTAGCTCTGGTTAGTTGTACTTTATAGATGTTGTGAGAGATCTGTTGACTTAACATTGTGTTTTTTTTTTTTTTTTTGTAAAGGTTTTTGCTGATTTGTTAGCTGATCCGGAGCAGATGTTGATGGTGACTGTCTCCAATGCACTGATAGAGATTGGATATAAAATTGAGGTATTGATTTTTTTCTTTGGCTCTTGTGTGTACTATTAGTAATATGAAGTGTTGATGATACTTGTTTTTGGGTAGGTGTACTCACTGGAAGACGGTCCTGTTCGTGGAATTTGGCAGCAAATGGGAGTTTCAGTTACTATACTCGACTCTAACCGTGCATCAAGCTGTGTTATCGATTGGCTCTCGTGAGTATATTGCATTGCTTGAAAAACTGTTGGAGAACTAGTGTGGCATGTAGTGATAAGTTCAGAGCTAAGAATCATTCCTGAGGCTATAATTAGTTTATTGTAGTCATGTGGATCTGAGGTTGATCCAATGCATTTAGTTGACTATTATTGTAGTGCAGAATTTAGTTGACTCGACTTGGTTAATGATATGATTTTTGATCACTGATAATTTTTCTTTGTTCTTATCTTGAAGCTATGATGGCGTCATTGTAAACTCTCTTGAAGCTAGGAGTATGTTTACTTGGTAAGATTTTTCTGTTCTTTGGTATGAGTGTATAACACATTCTTCTGGTTTTGGTGTTTAAGCATAGTATATTGAGATGAGAGTGTATACAGTGAGTATATTATTATACACGCAAGTATATTTGTTACCTATGTGGATCTTTTTCTCAAGTTCTTGATGGTTTAATCTATTGGTACCTATTTTATATCACATTCTTTTGGTTTTGGTTTTTAAGCATAGTTTAAATGATAATTTTGAAAATGTGTTTTTTGTTATAATGCACACAACTATATTTGTTACTTATGTGGATTTTTTCCCAAGTTCTTCATAGTTCAATCTTTTGTTATTCTTTGACAGCTTCATGCAAGAACCTTTCAAATCTATACCTCTTGTTTGGGCCATCAATGATGAAACTCTCGCTGTTCGGTCTAGACAGTATAACTCAACAGGGCACACCGAACTCCTAACTGATTGGAAAAAGATTTTCAGCCGGGCATCGGTTGTAGTCTTCCATAATTATCTCCTTCCGGTAATATTTTATGATTTAGAGTGCAACCATCAAAACATTTTTTTCTTCTTTTAAATAGTTATTTTCAAGAGTAGCTTTGGATAATTACTTTTTAAGATGACTTATATTGTTTCACCTTTATGCTTCTTGAAGATTCTCTACTCCGGGTTTGATACTGGCAACTTTTATGTGATTCCCGGATCTCCTAGAGAAGCATGGAAAGCAAAGAGTCTGGACTTTCCACCGAAAGAGGACATTGTCATTTCCATTGTGGGAAGCCAGTTCTTGTACAAAGGTCAATGGCTGGAACATGCTCTACTTCTGGAAGCTCTATTGCCGTTATTTTCAGGCTATAACAGTGAGAGCTATAAATCCCATCTCAAGATCATAGTTTTAGGTGGAGAATCAGCTTCCAACTACAGCGTAGCTATTGAGGTATAACAAAGACTCCTTTGCCACTGATTCAATGTTTTGTAGCTTTTGAAGATAGAGATAACATAACCTTGTTCCTTGGTTTTGTTTTGAACGTCTTAGACAATTTCCCAGAACTTGACATATCCAAAAGATGCTGTGAAGCATGTAAGCGTCGCAGGGAATGTTGATAAGATACTGGAAAGTTCTGATCTTGTCATATACGGATCATTTCTTGAGGAGCAATCTTTTCCAGAAATTTTGATGAAGGCCATGGCGTTGGGCAAACCGATAGTCGCACCAGACCTTTTGCATATTAAAAAACATGTAATTTTCTTTACCTTTGCTCGTTTCTCCATAGAGATTTGTGGTGGCATACTGACTGAATGTATTGAATATCAAATAGGTCGATGACAGGATTACTGGGTATCTTTTCCCCAAGGAGAATCCTAAGCTTCTGTTACAGATAGTGCTTGAAGTGATAGCAGAAGGTAAAATATCTCCGTTGGCTAAGAATATTGGCTTGATGGGGAAAGCAGCTGTTAAAAATATGATGGCCCTGGAAACTATAGAAGGTTATGCGACTCTACTAGAGAACATACTCAAGTTTTCTTCAGAGGTTGCTTCTCCTAAGGATGTACAGACAGTTCCTCCAAAACTGAGAGAAGGGTGGAGCTGGCATCTGTTCGAAGCTCTCATGGATGCATCGCCTAATAACAGAACATCAAGAAGCTATGAGTTCATAGCGAATGTTGAGGGACATTGGAATCAAACACCAGAAGATTCTACTAAATCTCGGGTTGTAAATGATGATTCATTTGTATATGAAATATGGGAAGGTGAGAGATATCTTCAAACAGTTAACAGTAAGAAAAAACAACAAGATGAGGAGGTAAGCATTTCAGATGCGAGTTACATTCTCATCTCCATTTTCCTATGTGCCAGTTTGATTTATTTTTCTGTTGTTGTACAGCTGAAAGGCAGAGCCTTGCAGGATCATGTGACATGGGAAGAAGTATACAAAAGCGCAAAAAGGGCAGACCGCAGTAGGAATGATCTACATGAGAGGGATGAAGGGGAGCTGCAACGAATCGGTCAACCATTATGCATATATGAACCCTATTTTGGTGAAGGAACATGGTCGTTTCTACATAACTATTCCCTCTATCGTGGGGTGGGCATGGTATGTTCTCATGTGCAATATATTGTTTTAGCAATGGTCCAAAAGAGGAAAATGTTTTCTAATGAAAATTAATGCGAATGCAATCATATTGCAGTCAGTTAAAGGAAGGAGACCTGGGATGGATGATATCGATGCATCATCACGTCTTACGCTATTAAACCAACCCTACTATCGTGATGCTCTTGGTGACTTTGGAGCATTTTTTGCAATTTCAAACAAGATTGATCGGTTACACAGGAATGCATGGATTGGGTTTCAGTCCTGGAGAGCGACCGCCAGGAAGGTACAGACATCTTCCTTTGCTATACTTCACGAATGCTATGTCCAGTACTAATAAGTACTTGTAATGTAATTTGGGAACCTAAAACAGGAATCTTTATCCAACATTGCTGAGAACGCTTTACTTAATGCTATAAAAACACGGAAACACGGAGATGCCTTGTATTTTTGGGTTCGCATGGACAAAGATCCGAGAAATCCTCTGCAGAAACCCTTTTGGTCGTTCTGTGATGCCATAAATGCTGGTAACTGCAGGTAATACCCACATACGGATTTCTTATAAAATAGTTTTATAACATTGTTTGAGACATCATATACCTGACTCTTTGCAATTTGTGGACTTTTATGAAGGTTTGCTTACAATGAAACTCTGAAGAAAATGTACAGTGTCAAGGATATAGACTCACTGCCTCCAATGCCCGAGGATGGGGATACATGGTCAGTGATGCAGAGCTGGGTGTTGCCAACAGGATCCTTCGTTGAGTTTGTCATGTTCTCAAGGTACCTGCTTACTTGCTTGAGTTACAACCCATAAGATTTTCTCAAGGAGGTTGCTTGCTTGTACTTAGCGTGTGTTTCTTTTTTTCTCTCTTGCGTTGTAGGATGTTTGTGGATTCTTTAGATGCACAGATGTATGAAGAACATCATCGAACAAACCGTTGCTATCTGAGTTTAACCAAAGTAAGAAACTCATACCTTCTTCTGCCAAAGTTCATATGAGTAGTATATCTACTTCAGAACTATCCATTTGGGTTTTGTATTTTAAGTAATGTGTTAAATTTTGTCACAGGACAAGCATTGCTATTCACGGGTACTAGAGCTTCTGGTGAACGTATGGGCATACCACAGCGCTCGACGCATCGTCTACATAGACCCTGTAACCGGTTTAATGGAGGAGCAACACAAACAGAAAGACCGGAGAGGCCATATGTGGGTGGACTGGTTCAGTTACACATTTCTAAAAACAATGGACGAGGATCTCGCAGAGGAAGCAGACTCAGACCGTCGTGTAGGTCACTGGCTATGGCCATGGACAGGTGAGGTCGTGTGGAAAGGCTCATTAGAGAAAGAGAGGCAAAGAAAAAACGTAGAGAAAGAAGAGCAGAAGAAGAGAAGTAAAGATAAGCTTAATAGAATGAGAAGAAAAAGTCATCGCCAGAAAGCAATCGGCAAATATATTAAACCGCCTCCTGAAAACGCAAACGTTACTACTTTTTTAAACGCAGACGCTTAAAACAAAATCAGATTAAAAAAGATTTGTTTCATTCATTATAAAAACGTCTCAAACTCTCAATCATTCACTCTCTCTCTCTCTCTCACACTCGAATTAACTGACGGCGAAGATGGCGGAGGAATCACACGTTCTTGAGATCAATCTCATATCGGCGCAAGGACTTAAAGAACCGACGGGGAAGCTCCGGAGATTGCAGACGTACGCATCCGTATGGGTTGATTCCTCCGACAAGCTCCGCACTCGGATCGATCGGATCGGCGCCGAGAATCCGATCTGGAACGATAAGTTCGTTTTCGAGGTTTCATCGGAGTTCCTCTCCAGCGAAACTTCCGGCGTCTCCATCGAGATCTACGCCGTCGGTTACTTACGCGATCATCTCATCGGAACCGTTCGTTTCCTCGTGAGTAACTTCCTCCCAACCGCCGCGGAGAAGGTTCCGTCTCTCGTCGCGCTTCAGATCCGTCGTCCTTCCGGTAAGTTCCACGGCGTTCTCAACCTCGCCGCCATGGTGATCGACGCCTCCGAGCTACCGCCTGGTTTCTTCAAGTCCGTTAGAGAAAAGGAGGCGGAGAGTCGGAGGAGGAGTAGGAGGATGAAGAAGTCGAGATCTGCGGTTGTTTTATCGGAGAACGGTTTAGCTGACGACGGAGGAGGAAGCTCGAAGGAGAATTCGTTGAGCGGATCGGTGAATTTCTCGGACGACGGAACGGACTCGACGGCGTCTTCTCCGATGCCGTCTCCGCTCAGAGACTGGAACGCAGTTCGGAATACGGCGGGAAAGAAGAATCACGTGAGGTGGTCATCGGACGGCGGAGGGATGATGTGCTGTTTCTTGATGAAATCTTCTGGTATGTTGCCGCCAAGAAAAGAGACGATGGACGGCTGAGATCTGTTATCGGATGATTCCAAACGGTTCAGATATCATCTTGGTTTCTTAGCCATAGATCATGGCCCCACGTGCACCTCTATCGAACGGTTCAGATCATCATCAAATCATACGTTGTCGTTTAGGTAGTTCCGACGGTTATGAGGAGGCTTAACGAACTCTAACGTTGGGTGCAAGTTTTCTTTTAGTTCATTTGTTTTTGTGTCATATTCTTTTCTGAACACTTACAAATTCATTTCAATATGAAGATAACATCATTTTTTGAGGGATCATATTAATTTTCCGCATATAGAAAAGAATGTGAATAGAGATGATATAAGATATGGTTTTTAAAACAATACTAAAGTGGAAACAAAACGCGGGAGTTGGTTAATGTGGTTGAGGAGTTAGTTGGTGCCATCAACGGCCAAATGAGTTAAAAACCGTAGGATTCGTTCTAACAGAAAAAACAAAATATCAATCTTCTAATTACAAAAACTTTGACAGATTATCAGATACAAATTCACTCTCCTTCTCTCTGTCCTCTTCATCTTCTCTGTTTTCTGCCCCTCTCATCTCTCTCTTAGAACAAATCTAGGGTTTTATGGCAAGGTTTACGAAGCAGATATCAGCCATGGAGCTTAGAGACACACAGAAAAACAGAGTTCGATACTCTTCAAAGCACATTAAACACTTGCCACCTTCCACCATTACTGAGTTTGATTTGAAGGATTATTCTCCCTTGGGTTTCAGGTAATTTTTTTTTTTTTTTTTGCTAATGTTTCATGTCGCTTTTTTTATTCCTTTTGTAATGATAATTTTGAGTTTTTTTCGTTCTTGTAGACTTATACAAGAACTTGAAGATATTGATCATGATGATTACATGCATTCCATTTGTAATGATGAGACTCTAAACAACCTATCTTCTGGGAAAATAGGCAATGTGTTTCTTGTATCCAATGATGACCGTTTCCTCATCAAGATTATTCGAAAATCTGAGATTAAGGTATTCAACATTTACTTTATTAAAAGAAAAAAAACCTTTATTTAAAAACACAGATTCTAATCATGTGATGTCTAGGTGATACTAGAGACGCTTCCAAGCTACTACCGACATATTAATAATCACAGATCATCACTATTCTCAAGGATCTATGGTGCTCATGTTGTCAAGCCTGTTGGTGGTGTTAAGGTGAATGGGCCTTTATATATGAATATCTATAATTCTAATTTAGACATTAGTTACCTAAACAAAGGTATAATGTTTGTTTCTTTGTAATGCAGACATATTTTGCTGTCATGTCAAACATGTTGCATTCTAAGGTTTTTATGAACAAGCTCTATGATCTAAAAGGTTCTCCCAAAGGTCGAACTAACAAGAAAATTGAATTGAGAAACAATACTGTATTCAAGGATATAGATCTTGACTTATGTTTCTACGTTGATCCATTGGTTAGAAAACGCATCATCAGGTATGCATCTCTTTCTCTGTATCATATTGATTTTAGTAACTAGTATTGTAGGATCCAAATGCTTAAACACAAAGAGTCATGTCTTTATTATTATAGGCAAACAAAACTAGATTGTGAGCTTTTGGAAGAACAGGGTATAATGGATTACAGCTTATTGGTTGGTTTACAAGTAAAAGACTCATCATCTCAAGGTGTGACATATCTACAATGTTTCCTATATGTCTCTATTTTCATCAGTGCAAGTGATAATGTTTCTGATCATAACAAATCACTCTTGACAGGTTCAGTTAATGGAGTAAACCCGGTTTACGGTAGCTTCACACCTCCATGTAAACACATACTTCACCAAACAGTTTTAAATCTCTGTTTTATATATATATGTTACTTGGCAAACACTATAACAAATCTATATCAATTAAATGTGCAGGCTCATTAGAAAGTGATAGCGTAAATTCGGTGAAAACAGCTTTAAATTCTCCAGATAGCTCGTTTGCAACAATGTACTCTTGCCCTCCCAGCAGAGGTAACAATGCATTATGGAGAAGAAAAAACACACAATGTGTATTGGATATTATTTTTTTGGATTAAGTAATGTACTTAGAAAAAAACAATATTGTTTTTGATCTTTAACAGATTCGGTGGGAAGTGAAAACTTAATGACAAACAATAGCACAAGCTCAGAAACTAATCTGATAAAAAGACAAAGCAAATTAGCAACACTCAGTAACCTCATTATCAACAGGTATAAGAGACTACAAAAATTAATGTTAAAAAACAATTATGTAAAAGTAAATAATCTTTTCTTTTTGAAACTTCTGAAGCAGCAGCAGCTCGAGTACTAACTTTGGGATGAAGATTCCAGCGAGAGCACGGCGAGTGAAGAGAGCGGCGGGAAAAGAGGAGGAATGGTATGATGTGGTTTTGTATTTAGGGATCGTAGACACATTTCAAGACTATGGTATGAGGAAACGCATTGAACATTGCTACAAAACCATCCAACATAACTCAAACTCAATCTCGACCGTCCATCCTAAAATCTACTCTTCTCGATTTCAAGAATTTATCTCCAACATCTTCTTACCTCGCGAGGACAACGATCTCTCTCTCTGATATCTATTTTGATATAGTAATAACGGTTTAACTTCCAAGCAGAATCATTAATATAGTGTTTAAAGAGGCTAAGAGCCCTCCTCTTACGACCCAAATCAGGTGTCTATTGTCCAAAAACATGTAATCTTTACTATGTTTATGTACCGTCCCATGGTTTATGATAGTGTGCGATGAAAGACTTAAAATAATTGTTTTGGTTACCCATGTTATCAAAATGCATTTATCTTTTCGGACTATAATATTTTCAGACTGAAGAACATACATTGGTGAAATAGAGACATTGTATAATAATCACATTACAGTAAAATCTCAGAAAGAAATAAAGCTTGCTTATTATATTATGAATGAATCTATTCGGTCCCTGCAATCTTCTTCTTCAAGGAATCAATATCCTCAGCCAACTCTTTTCTGCTTGACTGAAAAACAAGAACATACACATTTTTCAATCATATCAGATAACTGATGCTTCTACAGGTTATGATAGGTTAATGGCAGTTTTGTTACCTTGAAGAGAAGGTATTTGTAGACAAACCATCCTGTGTAACCGAGACCAACAAGCTCCATAACCTTCGGAAGCTACCGGATAATTTCAATCTTTCAGTTTAGATTCACGGAAGTTAAACTATAAACCCTCAGTTTCCGGTTTTGGTTAGCTCACACTATCCATACCAGATTATAACCGGAATATTGAATTGAATTAAACTATTAAACCCCCTCAATTTCCTGTAGGAGTAGCTTACACTATCCATACCAGATTCTACACCGGGTAAACCGAATTAAATTAACCTTTAAACATCTCAATTTCCAGTTTTGAGTAGCTTACATATACCAGATTATAAACTGGGTAAACCGAATGGAATTAAAATATTAAACCCCTCAATTTCCGGTTTGGATTATCTTACACTATACATACCAGATTATAAACCGGGTAAACCGAATTGAATTTTAGATTTTAACAACTAAAGTGAACTGCCGCTTAGCTGAATCTCAATCTCCTGTCGGAATATTCTAAGTTCAGACAGTTTCTGGACAACACACAAGATTTTCCGGGTATTTCTAGATACCATTAAACCGGGGAAGAGAGAACCGGTCACCTAAACTAGCTTCAGCGGAACAGTGAAAGATGATCAGCCAAAAGAGCGAGGAGGAAGGTAAGGGACGGCGGAGATATTATTAGTCGATGCTCTTATCTCTAGAAATCCAACTCAGTGGTGTTTATAGAATTCTCACATTATGTGGGGCTGGTTTATGCCTTACTAGTGGTCTGTCCGGTCCGCACTGCGCGCGGATTATTTGATATTTGTGTCATGTTAATCTGTAAAAAATTTTGTTTGATTGTTATGTAATTTGCATGATTTTTTTTTTGTTTATGAGAATGTTTCTACTTATGACATAAGAAAATTCAGCTTTATTGTATAAGATATTGATATTTTAACATAATATATTTATCTGATTAAATTTAATAACTAAGACATATTTATATATTTATAGTATATATTAATAATATATTTTTATTAAAATATGTTACTTATTCATTATATAAATTATATTTAAAAATGTAAAATTTATTTTAAAATATTAACTTATTTTTGGATATAAACATATTTTAATATTATTAAATATAATTAATATGAAACTTAAATTCTTCATAATTACACATCTTACGTTTTTATTTGGTATTGAAAGAAAAAGAAAATCATAACATAAATTTTGTATCAAACGTATGAATGGTGTCCTCATTTCCTTCTTTTTATATAAATGCTCCCAAGCATTTTAGAGAGACAAACACAAACAAATTCGTATCACATTCTCCTACTGTGAATAGTTTTTTTATGTTTTAGTTGAAAGTACAATACAAAAATTGATTCGATAAGTTATATTCCTCAGTTGATTGAGATATAGAAACCAAGCTTTGAAGTCATCTAACTCATCCTGAGTTCTTTTCTGAAGATTTTCCACAAGAAGAAACAGAAACACATGTTTCATGAGCCAATGGACTCATCAGAGGGTGGACTCTGGGTTTGCAGACATCATGGAAGACATAATAAGATTATGCGGCTGCTTAACAGAAAAACATAGAGCGAGACAGTGTCGAAATTTTGGGTTGTTCTCAAATGGTGTGGAAGAAGTATTCCATCAATCTGAAGGTTACTTTATTTTTTCAATAAGAATTAATAGGAAAAAAAACAACACCAAAGATATTGATAGTGCTTTATGTTTAAGAATTTATTTTTATCACAATACCTAAATTATATAAATAATTAAACAATAAAGAGAAAATTAAAATCGTTTATCAAAAAAAAAAAAAAAAAACAAAGAGAAAATGAAATAGACGAACGTGAAACTGAAGCAACTCCAAATGTAGTGGTAGCAATCTAGGTTCAAGTTAGAACACTATCAGAAACAGTTACCAAGTGAAACTATATGCAAACATATTTTTGCAAAATTATCCCTTTAGGTTTTACAAATAAAAACGATGCCTTAAGCCTATGTTTAACTTTAATATTCCCTTAAGAGGCACAGCTCTCTAAGCTCGATAGTAGAGTAGAATACGTAGACATGTTTAGTTAGGAAACAATGTATAGTTTCAGACCCTTCACCACATTGAGTTTAATTTAAAATAGAAAGAGTAGCAAAAACATGATTTTTTTTTTTTTGTCGATAAGCAAATTTTATGTGTAAGTAAACAGCTGCGTGTTCCAAAAATAGAAAAGTAAACAGGTGAGGAATAGATAATATGTAATTGTGGGGGAGATATTAAAGAGATGGTAAGATCATGGACCAAAAGTATGTATATCATGTAAGCTCAACAGTAGAATATGTAGACACTGTTTAGTGAAAAAAATGTTAAAATTTCAAACATCCACCACTATATTTTCCAATTGTCTCTAAGTCAAAGTAGATCTGGAACCCAAATGTTGTGTTTCGAAATAACCGGCCTGCGTATTGGACGGTTAGACACTGAAATGCCTTAACTGTTTGAAAGCACATTATCGCATAGCTGTTGAGTTAATATAGTTCTAAAGGAATAAGACAAATAAATTTTCAGTTTCTCACGTCCAACTATTTTGGGATTATGGCAGTGACCAGCACAATTTTGGGCTCAGAGACGAAGCTTTCCAATTTTTTTTTATGAAATGCAAAATCCAGCTATCAACAGACTAACACACAGTTATATCCTTCTTAACATGCAATGTTATGAAGGTTAATGAGAGAGGCGGCGATCAAGAATTAACTGTACAAAATACCTATCTATACGTAGGTCACCATGACACGCTGTGCCCCGTGAGTGCCGTCTTTATAGTGCTCCTGATTGTACTGAGCTCGCCTATGATGTAGCAGTTAGAATCGTTAGCAAGAAGTTAGAGATGTAGAGGATTAGAATAAAAACAGGTACAATAGTTGTTTGTTGATATCTGCCAACGCCAAGAGCTGCTCATGGTTGCGAAATCGAAACTGCTAAGTTGGTATTGGTTTAGTCGAATCCTTGACTTCTGCAACCGACGTGCCATCAAAGAGTATGGAGACGGGGCGACAACACTTAATCGGAAATTGTTATTCCTTGGTGCGACGTCAAAAACCACTGATAGAGAACACAGAGCCTCCACTGAGACGGTGACGGTAGGTGCTGAGGCGGTTTGCATTGGCGGATCATTGAATAAGAGTAGACGGTTTGACAGAAGACAATAAAAAGTTAAAACAATCGGAGTTATAAGTTTTTTATGAAGCTTCAGTAAGAGAAAGCGGTGGTTCCCCTTGCTTACCTTCCTTGAGTAGGTGACTCCCACGAACTCACCACTTTTCTTGATATTCCTTGCCTCCCATCTTTCAAGTCAGCAAGAAGAAGTATGAATTCGCCATTGTTAAAGCTCTTCGTTGATAGAGTAAATATTGGCTGAATGCGTTTGTGTGAGGAGATCTCATCGGTTTTGAAGAGCCGACTGTGATTATGATGATTAAATGCATAAGGATGTGGTAGTAGATTGCAAACGGTAGCCGTTACACAGCCATTGCGAAAACCGTCGAGATTGGAGGAATTAAGCCGGATCTTTTACGAAGGTCGACAAGCGAGCTAGACAAAATCCTAAAAGGTATTGGGTCTTAGCTAAATTTTCGTTAAGCCTTATAAATAAATATGATCCAACATATTTGACCCAATATCATAAACACAATGAAAACAAATTGTTTTTAAGACATTGGACACGTGACAATAATTCCGCCATGTTAAAATCTGATGTGGGGGCTTAAGAAGTGAGAAAAATCTATTTTATAGTATAAGATTTTAAATTCATGTAGAGTATGGACCCATTATAAAACCTATTGTATAATTGCTTCCTCTTTTGTCGTTTCCTTTACTAATTAGGTGAGGAAACATGGACCATCATGCAAACCTTTGAATTTTGTGTCTTATGATAGTTACGACTTGAAAAATTAGTAATACTAGACTAGATGATCCAAACACAGGAATTCAAACAAGGAATTAAAATACTCACTTAGAAATGAAAATTAGAAAAATTGTCATAAAACCAGTGTTAAAATGCAGTATGGAATAAAGCGATACTTAATTAACATATCATCAAATTCATAAATTTTTATTTACCATCTAAGTATTTATTAATGAGATGTATGCAGAACCCCCCCCCCCCTCTCCTACCCTAAAAGATTAATTTAAAAAAATATTTTCTAAAATAAAGTATTATATTAAAAAGATTATATGTAGTTAACAAACTCCACAAAAATTATATGATGGTAGAGTTTTGCTACCTTTAGAGCATGATTAACCCTACAATCCCATTTGAATCTTTTAATATTTTTTAATAATAAATGTTAGTTAAGAATTTTAGTCATGAGATACCTAGTTTTTGTGCTCCATTCATAGTTTTTTTAATTTAGAGTTCTTAAAAAAATAATATCAAACATTGTTTTATTAAATATAAAATTTATTTATTAAATGAAATATAGTAAAAGATAACTTTTTAAACATGGATTTTAAAATTAAAAACATAAAAACAAAGATAATTTGGGCCATGAACATTTACTTACAAAATCCATTAAAATTGGACCATGGACCTTGATTTACATAACCCATTTTTAATTGCTATACAAATTATTATGTGTAATATTATGTGTAATAATAATGTTATTATAATTATATAGGAAATTTAATCATGACAATTTTATGAAAAACATATATTGTTATCTATTTAATCTATCTATTTAATTACCATTTATTACCAAACAAAATTGTAACAATACTTTGTTCTTTTTTATAAAACAATTACTATTTGAAAATAAAGTACCATATAAATGTGTTAAAAAGCTATGGCACAAATGTATAGTTTAACAATATAATAAATTCAATACAATGAACAAAATTCTTTACTAATATTGTTTTTCAAAAAAAAATTACGTAGATATTATTACATATAAAAACACATATATGATTACAAAAAAATACATATATGATACAAAGAAAGACACACATATAAAAAAAATACTTTCAAATGATATATACAAAACAAAAAAGATACTCGTGCTAGTTAAATCTTAAAACCTCCACATAAGAACCATGGATAATCATGGTCTTAGTTAGTTCCCTCCATCCAAGCGTAATTTTTCTTCAATTTTTAAATACAAAAATAAATAAAACAATAATATAAAAAGTCCCATATAAAAATTGAAGATTGTTTTTTGTTTTTATGTTACGATACTAATCCAAGTAGATTTCCTTCTAGTTCTGAAAGGTTGAAGCCGCTTCTAACCTAATGTCTCTATTCTCTCTCCTATCATGTCTTTTTTTTCTTTCACATCTATTGTGTACTTTGTTTTCTTTCAGATTCTAAGTCTTAACAAGATCGAGAAGTATTGGCAAGAATAAAATTGTTATCTCTTGAAATTATGGGAATTTTCATAATGAAAGTTGTCAAGATTTCCAAAGACAACAATCTTTTTTTTCAACTATATATGGTTCAACTATTAATCATGTCTTTATTTCTTTATTCTCTCTCTCATATCATGTCTTTTTTCTTTCAGATCTATTTGTACTTTTTATTCTCTCAGATTCTAAGTCTTAACAAGGTTGAGAAGTATTGGCAAGAAGAAAATTGTTATATCTTGAAATTTTGGGAATTTTTAGTATGAAAGTTGTCAAGATTTCCAAAGACAACAATCTTTTTTTTCAACTATGGTTCAACTATTAATCATGTTCAAAAGAGAATGAACGAATCTTTTAGGCCTTCTTACGATGCAAATCTGGTGAAGATGTGTAAGGCCTCACCACGCGATTCTACGGTAATCCCTTCCTCTTTGATTCGTTTGCCAATCAGAAGCATATTGAGATTTTAAGTCTTAATAAGGTCAAGAGCTATTGCAGGAAGAAAATTGTTATCTCTTGGAATTTTGGGAATTTTTCAATATGAAAGTTCTCAATATTTCCAAAGACAACATTTTTCTTTCAATTATGGTTCAACTAGTGAAGATTCAATTATGGTTCAATCATGGTTAGAATTTTGGGCCTCCTTTCTTCGCAAATCTGGTGAAGATTCTATGGTTGTCCCTTCTTCGCAAATTTTGGGCAAACATTGATTCGTTTTCCAATTGAGATTCTAAGAGTCTTAATACGGCCGAGAGCTATTGACAGGAAGAAAATTGTTATATCTTGGAATTTTAAGATTATTGGGTAAAAATAGAAACTATTGGATAAATTTGAAATTATATCGAAAGATTCAAGCCAGTGTGCTTAGTGTCTACTGACTCTCGCTGTCATTAAGCTCGCAAGAGATGCTATTGCTTCCCAAACCAAATGGCAGCATGAAGACGGCGTTGTAGTGGAGGCATGTCGTATCTGTTACGAAGATGTGCCAGTGGATGAGAAATTCACGGTGTTTGGATGCTACCACCGAATTTGCTTCGACTGCATCAAGAATGATATCATGCATAGTCTACGGCATCGGGGTCGGCTCATCTGCCCGAATGTGGGTTGCAAGTCTGAGCTGAAGCCTGCAGACTGCAACCAGATTTCTGATCCGAGTCGCTTGCGTTGATGGTCGAATACAAGACTGAGGAGAACATCGAGGTTTCAGACAGGCTCTACTGTCTGAACCCTAGATGTTCGATTCTGATGTCTGCTCGAGGCCTTCCCGCAGTTGATTCCGCTCTTCTCGAGTGTCTCGGATGTGGTTTACGCTTCTGCGTAAACTGCAAGATGGAGTGGCATACTAAGCTTAGCTGTGCTGCATTCAGGAAGACCAAAGCCTATACGAAGTCCGGTACGGCCGTTTTCGATGATGCAGCTCGGGAGCTCGGTCTGAAGAAGTGCAGCAAGCACATGCCATGCACGTTAGTTCTCTAGCATATACTCCTTGATATTATATAGTGTAACAAACTTGTGATGCGATTATTTGCAGGTTTTGCAAGTACGAGTTCTGCTACACCTGTGGGAACGAGTGGAAAAACAAGAAGCCGACGTGTAAATGCGCTCCTAAGGTTTGACTACCAGTCCAAATTGTTTCCTATAAAACTCTTGACACTTATGTTTTTATGAACAAGCTCTATGATCTAAAAGGTTCTCCCACAGGTCGAACCAACAAGAAAATTGAACTGAGAAACAACATTGTATTCAAGGATATAGATCTTGACTTCTGTTTCTACGTTGATCCATTGGTTAGAAAACGCATCATCAGGTATGCATCTCTTTCTCTGTATCATATTGATTTTAGTAACTAATATTATAAGATTCAAATGCTTAAACACAAAGAGTCATGTCTTTATTATTATAGGCAAACAAACCTAGATTGTGAACTTTTGGAAGAACATGATATAATGGATTACAGCTTATTGGTTGGTTTACAAGCAAAAGACTCATCATCTCAAGGTGTGATATATATACAATGTTCCCTATATGTCTCTATTTTCATCAGTGCAAGTGATAATGTTTCTGATCATAACAAATTATTCTTGACAGGTTCAGTTAATGGAGTAAACCCGGTTTACGGTAGCTTCACACCTCCATGTAAACACAAACTTCACCAAACATGGACATGGACCATCATGCAAACCTTTGAATTTTGTGTCTTATGATAGTTAATAATACCAGCAGGACTGGTCATTTGATTTGTTAAATTTGATTCAATTTGTTATTCGTTTTGATTCGATATGAAAAATTTGGATATCCATAAATTTTTGGAGAAAAACAAATATTAAAAATTAATATCCGTTAAAGACAAAGCAAAACACAAATCTCTTATATACTAAAGCATAAGTCATTTGACCAACAATATTTAGACATGTGGATTATGATTTTAAAAATTAAAAGAAAACAAAATTATACACCTTTATCGAATTTTAAACAGTGTCTTAACTGCAAAAAATATCCCTATATTTTTTAAGCACACGTTTACAAAAACAAAAATGCTTTTAGCAACTTCCACTATGTATTATCTCTTACATTCAGTTATCCAATTGTTTATTTTCTATATCTCATTTCTCGACAATTGCATCTTTTTATAGTTTTATTTTAGTTTTAAGTGTGGCAAAGATTATTAGCTTCCTTCTTTATTTTTTCCTAAAAAATCGTCCATTATATTTTCTGCATGATTCAAGTTGAAGATTTTATCTTAACATGCTTCTATTTTGTAACTTATGTTTTCACAAAATGGTAAAACAAATAACCGTTTTGTTTGACAAAATATTATTATCAGAACACGAATATATTATCAGAATGAAAAGCTATTCTTAAGAAAAAACTAACCACATTTACAGTTTAAATAATAATACCTTGAATTGTTTAATTAAATGAACTTGATTGTTTAAATATGTTTAAATATTTTATTGAGATGTTTTATTGGGATTTTATCTATTTGTTGGAATTCTAACATTAAACATTTTCAGTTAAGTTCTAATTCATCATAGTTTATTATTTATTTTGTTTCATTTTGGTCAACAATTTAATTGTTTAGTGTTTGTTATGCTAACATGAATAGGTTTAATATTTTAGTGCTATATTATAATATTCTATATCATACTTTTATTTGTTACCATATATCTTAAGTTTTTTTTTTTTTTTTTGTAGAAACAAGCTTTCAAAAATATGTATGTTGCATATATTTTTCAAAACAACGTCATAGAAATTGTTTAGTATTTCTAGCCACTTCTAGGTTTATGCATTAATGTGTTATCCAGGTCAGGAAAATATATAACTAAATAATAATTTATTCATTACAATTTTATGATCACATAGTTTATAAGACATTAAAATTGGTAGGTGCGTAGCACCGAGATAATACTAGTACTAAATATTTTAGAGACGGATATCCGATCCGTTCTGACTTTTATACAAGTAAATATATATTTACAATTACATATAGAGTTTTAAAAGTATAGTTTTATATAATTATTATTTTAACATATATTTTTGTATTTTTATTTAAATAACTATTTATAACGGTACTGAAAAATAAATATAAAAAAATTATAAAACTTCTAACCTATGGCGAACGAGTATCTTACCACTCTGCATCGAAAATATTACAATTTTCTAGAATTTTGTGTTGTTTTTTTTAAATTAAATTATGAAACATATAATTTCACTATTTTTTCACTTTTTCTATTTTATATTATGTAAAATATATTTTTGAAAAAAACTTTTATAAATTTTTTAGAAGCATGAGATAGCTTTAAATACTCATAAATATCTATAATTTTCGGATATTTGTAAAACTAGATATCTGTATATTTCTGAAACAAAATAAATCGAAAAATCAGATATTCATTAACTACGCATCAAATCAAAAATACTGAAAATTATGATATTATTAGATATGTGTCCATTCGTGAATACTAGATGATCCAAACAGAGAAATTCGAACAACAAAACATAAAATACTCACTTTCTAAATGAAACTTAGAAAATTTGTCTTAAAACCAGTGTTAAAAAAGCGGTATGCGCTAAACAAATATAAAACTAACATATCATCACATTCATAAGTTGGTATTTACCCATCTAAGTATTTATAAAATCATATAATATGCTAAATATAATATATGAAATAAATAGTTAAATTCATAAAAAATATAATATAATATATCAATTACCATAATTTATAAATAATAAATTTATAAAATTTTATCACTATAATACTATGATTTTTTTTTAATACGGTTTACAAAGTAATAGTTACACTTAAAAAAAAATCTAGCTCTATGCAGTCTGCCTAAAAAAATTAAAATATATTTTCTAAAATATGTATAATGTATATATAACGTTTTTTGAACAAAAATAGATTATATATACTTAACAAACCCACTAAAATCAAATGATGGTACAGCTCTACTAGTACTACCCTTATACTTCGCTGGCGCTTTCAACTACTAACCAATACCCCATTTCTCTTGATATTTAAGAAAACAGTTGAAGTTTAAACTTTAATTTAATCTAGTTTGGTAGGTTTTAAATATAATTAATACTCTTAAGACATGTGTTCATCTAGTAAGAGTTTGTTCGTTTTTTCCATGTTACTTTGTAGTGTTTTCAGGCATGAAAATGTATTCACTGTTTTTCTACGTTGTATGCAGTTTGAATATTTTGGTGATACATACAAGCATATAATTTTTTTTTTAAAGAAATTGCATGATGATTACGTCATCCGCATATATATATGTTACGGAACATATATAGCCGACACCTCCTTTATCGTCTCCATTTACAATTTTTATTAAAGACAAAATCTCCAAAATTCAAGTTTATTGGGTCAATAACGTTTTCTTTTTAATACAATAATTAAAATAAATGCAAGGAAAAAACATCCACCATTAATACAGCTCAAACCCAACTTTCTCTCCCCTTTTTTCTTTCAAGTTTGAATATCTTACTACACTCTTTTTCTTTTTTTAAAAAAAAAAAAAATCAACCATACGCATTCATCAAATCCATATTCATGCAGCTGTTACATTATATTATATCTTTACTCCCTTTTTGAGTGTGTGTGTGTGTGTGTATATGTGCTTAATTATATTCCATCATCTCCATCTCAATCTCAATCATTTTTCCACTTTGATTCTCATCTATCTGTATATCACAATTCTATATTCATCTCCCTTTTGATCATTAGCTTCAAACCTTAAATGAAGAAGATCACCAAAAGTCATTATTTGGGTCTCCATCGTCGTTCTTGATTTTTTTTCTCTGGCAATGGGATCTACAAATCTTGGTCTCATCACCATTCTATTCTTCTTCTTCTACGTCATCTCTAATTTACAATACATGGTTCATTGCATCAACGACATTCAAGATTTGGACGATCAGATCCGTTCATATGCGGCTCGTGCCAACACAAGAAGACACACAGGTTCGTTGTACGAACTTTCACTTCCGACCAATCTCTCTGACGTCAAGGCATCTGTTGTTACGGTCCGTAACAGTATGTTTTGGAGAAAAGGAGCAAACTATAGTGGAATCTACGTTCCTCCTATGGTCAGAACGATACCATACGCTAAGAGGATAGCTTTTGTCTACGAGACTCTCGGTGGTTACTCTTCATCGGTTTACTTCCGGTTATCTAATAATTACTCTTTTATTTCACCGGTTATTGGATTCACTGCTTACGACGCAACAAACCCGAATGATCTCAAAGAGTTGAATCTTTCGATCAAGAGAGACAATCCAATAATGATCAAATTTGATCATTACATTACACGTCATCAAAGCCGAGGAATATTCAAATGTGTCGCTTTGGGAGATAATGAGTCGTTGAATTTCAGCAATACGACGGGGAATTACAGTTGTGCCACTACAATTTCTCGTGGCCATTACGCGCTTGTGGCTATAAACCCAAAACACAAACCAACATCAAAACTAGAGTTGGCAAGGAGAAGGTGGTGGTGGATTGCTTTAACCATCATAGGAGTCTCGGTTTTGCTTGCTCTGGTGACAACCGTTGTGGTGAAGTTAGTGAGGAAAAAGAGGTTTAGAGAGATGGAAAGAGAGTCTGAGAAGAGTGAGATGGTCGGAAACGTTTGGATTGGTCAAAGTAGAATGCCGGCGGCAACGATGGTGAGAACTCAGCCGTCTTTGGAATTTCATGAAGATTTTCCTTCTTCAAATATACCTTGAATTTTTTTGTAGTTTGGCTCTGTACAGTGAGTTACATTTAAAGTTTCCATTTTAGTAACTTCTTTCCAAGTTTGGTACTTTTTAAATTTTCTTACTACGTTTTGCTTATGCATGAGTGAAACTGTTTGTTCTTAGTCTCCGTTCTGAATTCCTCTGCATGACTTTGCGTTTTAAGGAAAATAATAATACGAACACTTTGAAAAAATAATTGTTGGAAAAGTCTATTTCTTACAAAATTTAACTTTTCACCGTATCAAATTGTATATGGAACCACACGTGGTTGGGTGGTCAAAGCGTTCCGAAATCTCTAAAAGAATTCAAGTTCGAATCCGCACTGCATCACCAGATTTCCACAACGCGTGACCATTAGAGGTTTCATATTTTCTTTCCTGAGAATGGTTTACCATTTTTTTCAAATGGTATATGGAGTGTTCTTTATATAAGTATTTGTTGGTATTTACCTTATGTATTATGGTTTGCATATCTGCATATTACGTACGTAAGCAAAATCGATGATTCTTAAATTTAAAATCGGTCAAGAGATATGTTGGATCGAGCCAATTATTGCCCTTAGTTTGCCAACCTGTACGTAGTATGTAATGAATATTAGAAAATATTTTTCTAAGTAAATAAAGTTATTTAGCAATGATGGAACTCGTATTTGAATATTAATTGACGAATGAATTAGTCAAACAAAAATGAATTGTTGTATACTTAAACACCTTGATATATTAATACTTTGATTCATTAGTTAGTGGATATATATAATACTACAAGTAGCGTTCATATGATATATAAAAACGGGACAATAAGATAAAACATCAATCGTCACGTACACTTCAAAAGATTTTAAAATCTGATACGGGCGAAAAAAGGTGACGAAGAAATGTCACAAGTTAAGTAATTTCTTAATCTGATAAACTAAGGAGAATCAAATGATTAGGAGAATAATTGATCTGTAAAGCATAATACGCTATTTTAAGATATACTTTTATATTTATATTTTTGGGTTTGTCACAATATGCTTAGTTGGTGGATTGTTTAAAAATTAACATTTAAACCATTCCACAACTAATATGCGTCATATATTATAAACAAAATAGACGTTCTGATGTTTCAAAAATATAATAAAATGGATGTTCTGAGTATGTAATACTAATTGTTTGAACTAGTGTATGTGAAGAAGAAATGATATGATATCAAACCATCGAAAATGGTCGTTAAAGATGTTAGGAAAATTAAAACTGAGTCTTTTTTTTTCGAAACACAAATTGAGTCTTTTTTAGTTCTATATTAACAAACAAACATCAAAATGATCGCAATTAAAAGATAGAAAGCTATTCTTCTGTTTAGAACACCAATACCCATTTCTCTCAGTCTCTCGCTTTCAACTAAATGTTTGTGTGTAACAGAGAGATACGATGAGAACACATCATTGGTGGGTGCGTGACACAATGTGTGCCTGCCTGTCTCTCTGTACATACATGAGCTGCCTTTATGCCTATCTGATCTCCAACCATTCATATCCAGCCCATTACTTTATGCATATTTGATCTCCAACAATTCATATCCAGCCCATCATTTGTGGCCCACTATGGAAACGTTGGGCCTGATCATTCAAAACCCAGTCCATTAACTACAAATCAAGGTTTTACGTATTGGGTCCGGTTTAGCTATGGATTTAGTTATATTTAATATCCCAAACCGGAATCATTACAACTGGTGGATTTGATTTATTAGTATTTTTAGTTTACCTTCTGAGATAGGCCTTGCTGATTAATTATGTGATTATCTAAATCTGAATCCAACGTGGCGAAGTAATCTCTTTTAAAGATTTGGAGAAAAAAAAAAGGTAAAGGAGCTGGCGTCGAATCCCACGTTGTCCGTAGGGACCACCCAAGTATTCCCTTAATTAATGGGACACGTCAGCTTCAAAACCACTAACGGCCGACACAAGCCAGTAGATCGTAGTAGGGACCACTCTACTCTTTTGGTAAAAAAAAAATATTTACTGTCAACCGTCAGATAAAAAATGAATATGAGTCATCGATCTTAATCTAAACTTAACTATAATTGGTCAAAGTCACTGTAAAGAAAAAGATGGTTAATTAGGTAGTCCACGTTTAGTCATCCGTGGATCTCAAATGAATTATACATTGTATTTTATTTTTATTTTTTTTAAAAAGGAATCAAAATCAGCACCACGTCAGACTTTGTAATCATCTCACGATGAACGGTAAAGATTAAAGCTACGTGTACCAATCGGTTTTTTAATAAATAATAAACGCATCCAGATTAGATCTACGGTAGCCAGCTCAGCATACGCGCCTTCTTTACTAGCCCTCGCAGATTAAGACACGTGTACGGTGACGTGTGCATTTCTCTCTCCTTTTTCTTCCTGTTCTTCTTCTTTCTCCACCGAACTCTGGTTCTAGAGAGAGAGAAACCATTTTCCTAGAGAGAGAGAGAAGGTAATTTCAAATTCGAATGGTTTTTGGTTTCATAGCTTCAATAAAGTTCAGAATTTTTAATAGTGATTGAATTGAGGTTGATTTTTTTTTTTTTTTTTGTGTGTAGTCTGTACTAAAATTATTTAAATTGAGAAAAAATCGAATTTTAATTTATATTTGATAGCTAACTCTGATCTCTGATATTTATCTTATGCAACTTTAACATCCAAGATCTAAGTGTAATTGAAGATGTTATGTTTTTTTTTTACTGCCAAGAATTACTGAAAGATCTAATCTTTCTTATGTTTTGTTTTTTTTTATGTTAATATGTGTCAGTTGTGTCTGCATAGAGCAAATGGGTAGCAACGAAGAAGAAGGAAAGTCCACAAAGTCTGACAAGACAGCACAAGTTCAAGCTCCTCCTCCTCCTGTAAGTAATTAAAGCTGATTGGTTTGGTCACTAGATCTGTTTGTTCTGAGATTGTTCTTTTATACAGGAGCAAAGCAATGTTCATGTGTATCATCATGATTGGGCTGCTATGCAGGTCTGATTTACTTCTTTTTTGTTTCTCTATGATTTAGCTTGAATGTTAATCTCAGGGTTTGTAATTGTAGGCATACTATGGACCTAGAGTAGCTATACCTCCTCAATATTACAACACAAATGGTCATGCTCCACCTCCTTCTTATATCTGGGGCTCTCCTTCGGTACTTCTTTTTTCTTTACTTTTTGTTTAGGTTTTTTTTTTATGCTACTTTTGGATTGAGTGTGACTTTTCTTCAACTATATTCCAGCCAATGATGGCTCCTTATGGAACACCATATCCACCGTTTTGTCCTCCTGGTGGAGTCTATGCTCATCCTGGTCTTCAAATGGTAACACCATCCCTTCTTCTTTTTCTATGATGATTGGTCTTCTGCCTTGGCTTATATTGTTTTTGTGCAACTCACTTTAACAAGCAAATGTTTAAAGACCATTGTCTGATTAATATTCTTTCATTCTTAGCAGGGCTCACAACCACAAGGTGGTCCAGTTTCTCAAGAAACACCTGTTGTAAGTCTTTTATCTCATGATTTTGTTTTTTCCTTCTGTGTGTGTGAGTGGTAGCTTTAACGATATGAGAGTGTATGCAGGTTACAACTCCTTTGAACTTGGAAGCTCCAGCTAACTCAGCTGGAAACACGGATCAGGGGTTCATGAAAAAACTGAAAGAATTTGATGGACTTGCAATGTCTATAAGCAATAATAACAAAGCTGGCAGTGCTGAACATAGTTCTCAGAGGTTTTTCAAGAGATTTGTGTCATTATTTTTCTTCATTCTTAGATAGAATCTAACAATATGTTTTTGATATCACTAGCTCCGAGAATAATGATGATTCTAGCAATGGTAGTGATGGGAATACAACTGGGGTATGTACTCCTCCTTTCTTCTTTCAAATTAGTTTTTGATTTCCCAATCTCTCTTTATTTACTTATATACATGATGTGATGTCTCTTCTTACCACAGGGAGAACAATCCAGGAAGAAAAGAAGCCGGGAAGGATCACCAAACAAGGGTATTTCTGTCTCTCCTTGTTTCTAATATGTATCCTGAGAAAGAACACAACCCCAAGTAGTTTATAACTACATAAAGCTATAATGAATACTAAGTCTTTTCTTATTCTTGGTAGATGGGAGACCTTCATCTCAAATTGTTCCTCTTCTTAGAGATGAAAGTGAGAAGCAAGCAGTGACTATGGGGACTCCTGTTATGGCCACAGCAATGGATTTCCCCCAGCCACGCCATGAAGTCTGGGTAAAGTTGTTTTATATCCTTCTTTCACTTATATACATGTGACTGAAACTGTGAGCTGTAGTAGTAGTAACTCAGGCGTGACAGTTGTTTATTGGGGTTGGTGTGTTTGTTTATCTGCAGAATGAAAAGGAGGTTAAACGAGAGAAGAGAAAACAGTCAAACCGAGAATCTGCTAGAAGGTCAAGACTGAGGAAGCAGGTGATTTGCCACATAAAAATTTGTAGCTAATAGTTTTTATATAAGTTGACTAAATCTTGTGTTGTTTGCATAGGCTGAAACTGAAGAACTATCTGTCAAAGTTGACGCACTAGTTGCTGAGAACATGACTCTGAGGTCAAAACTAGGCCAAGTAAACGATGAGTCTGAGAAACTGCGGTTGGAGAACGAAGCTTTATTGGTAACACATCGTTTCACACATTTTGAGCACAATCATTAATAAGTGTATTTTCCCATACTGAACATAAGTTTTCTGTAGGCTCAACTGAAAGCGGCGCAGACGCAAGCAACAGGGAAAACAGAGAACCTAATATCTGGAGTTGATAAGAACAACTCTGTCTCAGGTAGTAGTAGTAAGAATGTGGAACAACAACTCTTAAACGTAAGTCTAAGAACCGATTCTGTCGCGGCTAGCTGACTGTGATGCAGAAGTGAAAACCCATTTCGTTTCTTCTAATGGGTTCTGATTGTAACTTTAAAAAAAAAAGTTTTTTTCCTTAGATTTATAGCTCTCTTCATGGTGAGCAGAAACTGATGTAATATCTTTAAGCAGAAGAGATTCACTGTGTAGTCTGATCTGCGACCACTTGATTGGTGATGGTTGTGATTAGGTTTTAGTTTATATGATACAAGCAAATGGATTTGAGACAAGGGGGGCCTATTTTGATGGTCTTTCTGCTTCATGATCGTTTCTGTATTCTTCTTTTGTAATAACACTTTTTTGTGTGTGTGTTTTGCTTTACATTTGCGTGTTGTAAGACTTGTCAAGTTGTCATTCATCTATATATCTACGAGCTTCCCTCCACCGGTAAAACAGAGAAAGATTCTTCAAATGGATTTGCAAAGTTGTCTGTCATGTTTATGATCTTGAGAAGATATGATTCCATACATAAAATACTGAGAATACAAGATTCGTAAGAAAGCTACAAGAAGCGCAGAATTATTCAATCTAATCCAGTTACCAATAAGGAAGGGAATATAAAAAAAATATTCCAAATTAGACCAAAAAACTAGGAAATGCAGATAGTAAAGAAGCTCAAAGTTGAAACTATGAGATTCTATAAGAAAAGCATCTTCGTTAGAAGAGCGATGCTCCAAGATAGGGGATGACTAACGTTAAGCTTTGAATCTCCCAATTCCAACCTTTCCAGTAGTAGCCTTTCAATATCTGTAGTAACATTAATAAATACATAACGGCCGTGTAAAAATAATTAACCCACACCATCTTTATTCCTTGCTACCCACGACTGAGGCAGAGTTCTCTTCCTCTCACTGGAGCAAAGAACCACATTTCACAGTCACTAGATCTTGAAGCAAACCGTTTCCAAAGAAGAATCATCAACACTTACAAACAATAATTTATTCCTAGCTTTACAAATGTTCCATGAGATTAGGGGAGACTTATTTAGATAGACATTCTGCTTCATGATCGTTTGTGTTCTTTTAAGTATCACCTTTTTTCTTTTGAGTTTTGTTTCACATAAAACACTGATAGAGTAGCACACACATCATGAATCTTGTCTTAGACGATACAAATTCGTAAGAAAAGAAAACTACAAGAAACGCAGAATTATTCAATCTAATCCACGAGAGTCATAACAATAGTGGAAACTTAACGTCAAAAGACCCAACCAAAACCTGCAAACACAAGAGCTCCAACAGCAAAAACAGGTTTGAATGTTTTGATAAAGGTTTGCCTCTGGACTTATTCTGATTCTGAAGAAACAATCTATAAAAATAGAGAAAACGAAAAAGAAAAATAAAAGGTTTGGCTAATGAATGACCTATAGCCTCTTATCCCCTTCCACGGATATGATGAAAGGAGATTGAAATAAAAGCCCCCTACAACTTCTGAACTTCCCTTCTGTCTCCTCTGGCTACAAAAATAGAAGTGTCCTGCTCTCTTTCTCTCTCTCTTCTTGAAGGTATCATCAAATGGACTCAGTCTGATATCTTAAACTCCACTCCTAAAACGTCTTTCACCATCTCATATGTCACAAACGCAATCGCAATTGATGGTACAACCTATCCACCAACACGACCATAATAACACACTCTTGAGAAAACAAAAAAGTTTAATCTATAAGAAAATGGGTTTTATTGGATGAAACAAACCTTCACTGAGTTGGGGACCAAACCCTTGTACAATGCTCCAAAGCCTTCATGACGAACTGTCTTCCTAAATGCATCAACCATACCGCTGTATTCAAGCGCACCCTTGCTTCTCCCCTCGCCTGTAATAACAGAGGAGGCACTTTTCCACCCAACCATTTGCATTCTCCTACGAATCACATCCAGTGGATAAGCAATTGTTTGACCAACTGTTCCAGCTATAGCACCACAAGAGAGTCTTGTGATAATGGTCAGCTCGTTGTTCTCCACTAGTCCGAATGGATTGTCTTTGACTAGCCAGTCCTTTAGAGACTCATAGACCGCAAAGTTCAACCCCACATATGGAACCTGCATTGTATCAGAAAGGTCTCTCATGAAATGGATAAGTTTGTAGTGAGGAAAAGAAAAATGTGACTTACAACTCCAATCACTGACGGAAGCCAACCACGGTACAAGGCTCGTGGGCCTTCCTCACGCAGGACAGTGGACAAAGCATGTGCAATTCCTCTATATTGATAAGGAGAGTTTGCCGTCTGTGCACATATATCCATGTTTGCAGAGTTAACAAAGATGACGACCAATAAGGACTCCATTGGGGTGTACAAAAAAGTTACCTGGACAGTAAGCCTTCCACGAACCATATCCATAGGGTATGTTGCAGACATGGCTATTATTCCAGCAGTTGCACCAGCTCCAAGCCGTAAAAGAGGAGTGAGTTGGGCATTTTCTGCAGAAGCAGAAACAGTAGAAAACCATAAGCCATAAAATCTTATAAACGGATTTACTATAGGCTTCTGATATGAGTTCAAAATGACTCCAATGATTTCATTTAGCAACTTAAAGTGATAGGTAAAGTCACAGGCAATATCATGCAGAGATCACTCAACAGGGAACAAGAAAGGTGAAATCAACTTACCATTTCCTGGCTGCTGACGATACAAGTACAGTATACCCCTAAAAGAGAGAGAGAGAGAGCATTAGATTAGACAGGAATATAAATTGAGAAGAATCAAGAGACCATAGAATATAAAGAAAAACTTACTTGGAAGCCTGTTCATAGCTAAAAAACTTGACAGCCGAGTTAGGAACAATACGAGCACAGTTGGTTCCGTTTCCTTTGAACAGACCACGAAGACCTTCCGTTCTCCAAATATACTTCAACCCTTGAACAGTCCCACTATACTTTATGTTATGTGGATTCTGCACCTGCGTATTGACAAAAGAACATGTTAACCCTCCAATCATTTACATGTTCAAACGACAACAAAAGAAAAACAATCAAACCTGAAGCAATATCTTCATCCTCTCCAGAGGTGCAACTGCAGTTCGTGACCTAATTAAAAAAAAAACACGCATCCACGTCAAGATATTATTAAGGAAAATTGTGCCTAATAACACAAGAAAAAAACTATGTAAACTAAAATTTCCCCCTTTCTCTCTTCTTTTTTCTTCCTATCTCTTTAAAAATCTTTTCTTTTTCTTTTTTCTTTTGGTTATTACACAAATAAACCCTTATTATTAACCCAAGAAACAAAATGTGAAAAGATAAAGTGACTAACTGATCTTCCTTTTATATATTTCAATCAAGTAAAAGATTGACACTTTCTGGTCATGTATCTATATAAAGGTAAGTGACTCATCTACTATACTTATCATCAGCAATCAGATTCAAACATCAAATATAAAGTTCTCATTTTTATGAGAAACCCATCAACAATCCTAACACTCTCTTTAAAAATCTAATTTGTCCTTTTTTCTTTTGGCTATTACACAAATAAACCCTATTATTAACCCAAGAAACAAAATGTGTGCACGGAAAGTAACAAAAAGTGACCAAACACTTTCTGCTTATGTATCTATACAAAGCTAAGTGAGTGATCTTACTACACTTATCGTCACCAACCAGATTCAAACATCAAATAAAGTTTTGATTTTTAAGAGAACCCATGATTAATCCTACTCTAACATCAATAAAGTTTTAATTTTTATGAGAAACCCATCAACAATCCGACTCAGCATAAGAGAAATGAAAACTAACACTCCACCAGCGACGCCACCGGCGAAGAGAGACTTGCAGATGCTGAGGACAGCATAGCCCGGAGCTTTGACTCCTTCCCTCGCTTCCTCCGCCAGATTCACGATCGTTGATACAGCTGCTGATTCGCTCCTCTTCACATCCTCTGATGCCATCTATCTATCGAATCGATCGAGAGAAAAATCGCAATCACTCCACTACGATCTTCGTTCCCCAAAACGATAGAAAACCCTTGAAGGAAGGAATCTTGCGTTTGAGATTAACGAGAAGAAGAGAGATCAAAGCACTTTTCTCGAATCTAACTCTCCTCTCTCTGTCCCGGCGGCGATTTTATAAACGCCCAAAAAGACAACAACCTACTGATTAAGGGGACTGAGCCAATGACGACGTCGTTTTAGTGGCATTCTTTTTTCTTGGGGAATTTACTAATTAAACCCTTTACTAACTATGTTTTATAGAATAGCCACTTTACTATCGAAGGACGAAACACTGTTCTGCATTTAACAAAAAAACTAGATTTTGACCCGCGCAACCGCGCGGGTGTTTGTTTTCGTTTATAGTTATATAAACATTTTTGTTTTCACTTGTAAATTGGTATATATTATAGTAATCACATATTTACGATATGTATAGTAAATGTTTTTCAAACATAATAATATTATATAATAAGTGTTTTAATCAAATAGATTGTTTCAAATTTTCTATATTATACATGACTTTCAAACATGTGTTTATTTCTTCTTCTATATTTTATTGTTTGTTAGATAAGTATTTCATTTTTAGATAAAGTAATATAAATAGAGTTTGATTAAATATTAGTGTAATTTAATTTGCAAAGATAATATAAACTTCGAAGAAATTTTTGCTAAAAACTAAACTTATAGCTTCATAAATTAATATTATAAAAAGTTTATTAAAAAGGAATTTTTTAAACAATTTCTTTTTTTCTTAAACAATACAATTTTAAAAATTTACATCGAAATAAATTTATCTAATATATATAACGTGTAAATTTTGTTAAGGTATATAAATATTACATATTAATAATCTGTGATTTTTGTTAATATATTCTGGATGCATTTAACTATTATTGACATATTTCCTTATAAATAATAGAAGATTCTTAAATTTATATCTATTGACATATTTTGCGTGACTAAGTTGGAAGGTGTGAGGTAATTTACCAAAACAAAATTGTTAAACATATTATAAGATATAATAATGATAATATTATTAGAGAGTTAATGTAACATAACTTTCTAGTAATAGTCCATTTTTTTAAAAATCACACATGAAATCAAGTCATGACTTCTGTTTTAATATATAAGATAAATGGATAAACACAATGGTAATTCTCTCAAATGATAATTTTTTAAGTTTTTGTCACAAAAATAAATCTAAAAAAAATAAAATGACAAAAAAAAATTTTATTCTAAATATTATAATATTTAATTTTTACTTTTCTAAATTTAAAACTATAAACCAAAAACTCAATCTCTTAATTCTAAATTTTTAGTCTAGATTAGTAAACACAACGGTATAAATGTATATTTAATTTTTAATTAAAACTTTTTTAGTCATTTTTTTCTAAAAAATTATTTTTCTGAGAATAAACTAAAAACAGTTATCAAATGAAATTTCTCTAAACACACAGATGAAATGTATTTTTCGAAGCTATACACTCGAGGGTTAATGATGAGTCGTTATTTGATGAAACAAATAATCTACAGTGAAACCTTTATAAATTAATAATGTTGGGAGTAGACCAAAATTTTATTTTTTTATTAATTTAGAGAGATATTAACTTATTGAAATACTAATCGAACCAAAAACTCAATTTGGAACTATTAAATTATATTATTCTATAGAAATATTTAGTGTATACTAATTTATCGAATATTAATTTATAGAGGTTTTACGGTAGATGAGGAGCTGTTTGCAATTAACATTGAGTGAATTTGCCCAAAATCCTATAAGAAGTGTATAATTAGGTGAATGCACAATTCAAGTTTTTGTGGGGATTGGATTTTGGACAGAATTACCAAACTAACCTCATGACATTTTATTGTCTAGAAAAAAAGAGTAGGGACGAAAGAAGCAGTAGGCGATAGTACCCTAAACAAGTTTTATTTTTAATTGGGGGTTAGTA